GGGGAGAGCTGGAGGACGCACGGTCACGAAAACGTGGCTGGTGTTTGGCGAGTGCAAGATCAACTCCATGATGGACAGAGGCGGAGTCTTGACTGGCAGGACCAGCTCCGACCAGAGGACCAGCAGCGAGAGGCAGACAAAGACCAGGGAAATGATCTTCATGACGATGGTCTCCGCGCGGCAATACCAGTACCACTCTGTGGGTGATGGGAGGGAGCGTCAGAGGGGCGGGAGCTCATGGAGCAAATCGTGCGGGCAATGCAGACGGGAGTGTATGTGGGAAGCAGAGAGAGCGAGAGAGCGAGAGAGAGAGAGAGAGGAAGAGAGAGAGAGGAAGAGAGAGGAAGAGAGAGGAAGAGAGAGGAAGAGAGAGAGAACGCACTGAGCTGCTGCTTCTGCCGAGCATACTTGGAGATGTCAGTGCGCTTCCAGGGCTCGGTGAAGAGGCCATTTGGGCTGTTCTTGCAGAGCTCGATGTCCATGAGATGGAAGGCCTCACGAAGGTGGCGCTCCCACTCGCTGCAACGCCAAGGAGAGGAGGAGGGGGGAGAGAGAGAGAGAGGGCGGCAGAAAGACCGGACCACAAGTCAGCGAGGACGAAATGCCAGAGGTGAGGGAGGGGGGGGGGGGGGGGGGGGGCGGGGGGGGGGGGGCGGGGGCAATGAGGAGCGCACTTGCGGCAGCGATCGCGCGCCTGGCTGATGCACAGGAGGCTCCCGTGGAGATCCATCAGCGAGTCGATGTCAAAGTCGTAGGGATTGACGGTGTTGTACTCGACGACAGCCATGTAGTCGATCGGGCACTGGACATGCCTGGGTTAGGGGGCCATGCGCGCGTGCGGGGAGGAGGGTAAAGGGGGCGACAGAAGAAAACCCACCTTTCCGACGATGATGTTAACCTTGGGACGGAGCGGGTCGCGCGGGCCGATGGCCAGGTCCAGGCCCTTGACCGTGGCCAGGAGGTCGGCCAATTCGCGCTCGGCCTTGACATAGTCCTGGTAGCGGGATTCGGTGTAGAACTCCAAATAGTGCATGCGCCGGATGCGGTTGCTGTTGCGCCAAAGGGTCCGTGGCAGCTCAACAAAGCCGTACCCCATGAAGCCGACGATCATCACCAGACCGTAGATGTTGGCCAGGGCGATGATCAAGTCAAAGAGGTCGGCACTGCGGGCCAACGGCCGGGGGAGGATAGGGGGGGGGGGGAGAGAGAGGGGGTGTCAGCTTGGGGCGCGGGGCGCGGGGCGCGGGGCGCGGGGGCGAGGGGACGCACAAGCCCAGCTTCTGCGTGGACAGGATGATGATCAGCCCGACCAGACCGGCGGCGCCCATGAGCGAGTAGAGGATGAGGTTGGTACGCAGGGCGATCCAGGCCTTTTGCAGGTAGGTGAAGCCCCCGGCATTGACAAAGGCCTGGTGGAAGGGGCAGATGGACCAGGTCAATGTGAACGCCGACCAGTAGAGGGTCCGCCAGTAGTAGGTCATGGCATCGAAATCCATGTAGATGATGGGCTCCTGGCAGAGCTCCCCGGAGAGGGCGGCCTCGGCCAGGCACTCACGGTAGCGGCCCTGGTGGTGGTGAGGGGGGGGGACGGGGGACGGGGGACGGGGCGGGGCAGGGGGAGACGTTGGAGGTGATGGCGGCGGGAGCGGCGCACAGGGGCACGCGTCAGCGTGAGGATCATGCTTCGGGGGGGGGGGGCGGGCGGAGGGCATGGCAGCGGCGAGGTGACGACCACGGCGGAGGTGGCGCAGCCACGGAGGGGGGCAGCAAAAATGGCAGCCCCCGGCGCGGGGAGGACGCACAGACAGGATATCCACGGGCAGGGAGCCGATGACGGAGAAGGCGGCGAACCAGCCGATGAAGGCGAAAAGGTAGACAAACCACTCGGTCTTCAGGCGCTGGCCATACCACCAAAGAAGGCGGCCGACCAGGGCCGCCGCCACGACCAGCTCGAGAATGAAGAGCGCGACGGACATGGGGGCGGAGGGGGGGAGGGGGCAGGGGCAGA